CCACTGGTCGGGCCGCTCCGCCCCGCCGCGCCCGCCGCTCCCCCGCGCGCTCCCGCTTCCGGGTTTCGGAGGGGCGGGGCTGGGGCGTGACGCCAGAGCGCCGCAGGGCGGAGCGTCCCGAAGACCCGCCTCCTCCCTACGGGCTCCGGCCACCGCCTCCTGCCTCTGGTGGGTGAAACCAAGTGTGAGGGGAACACAGCGAGGCGCGCGAGCCGGGTTCGCCCGCTGCACCCGCAGGCACGCTCCCCGAGGTCCGTGGCCACCCCTCCTATGGCGCCGCAATATGGCCCGGCCCGGAGCGAGGGGGCGGGCACACGGACTTGAAGAGCCGGCCTTTGAGTTAAAGGCGGGAAATGGCGGATTCGTCGGGGCGCAGTGCTGGGTGAGTTGAGGCGCCGCGGGCCTGGATTTTGTCGGTGCCGGCGAGAAGGCCATGGCCGGGAGCTGGTGGGGGAGGGCCAGCAGCGTTGGGGGTTGGGGATTTGATCCCTTCTGGACCCACCGAGGGTGCACAGGCTCGGGGAGGCGGGGTGCGGCCTCTGCGCATGCTCGGGAGCGTGGGCGCGGAACTAGACCTTGAGTCCCGAGTCAGTTATGTGGGTGCGGGGCGAGCCTTGGCTAGTGGCTTAACCTTTCTGTGCTTCCGCCTTCCTCCCCTGCGAAATCGGCGGAATGACGCCGCCGCTCAATCTTGTAGGCCTTGTGTGAAACTGAAAAGCTCTTACAACAGTGCGTGGCTCCTGAATGTGATCTGGGGTGATTACAGTTAACGTTTTGTAGTGGACAGTGCTGGGCCACTAAACTGTCTCCTTTAATCTTTCCAGTCTCTTTTTTTCTACGCATCCCATTTACAGGTGACATAATAGAGGCTCAGGGAGGGAAGGTCATTTGTCACAGCAGGAACAAGAGAGACAGACTTTGAACACTTGGCGGTGCCAGGTGTGATGCTTGGGCTGGGTTTGTTTTATTTGTGCTTTCGGCCCATGTTTATTGTTCCAGTGCAAATTGAAGTTAAATAGGCCGACTGAAATCGGTTGGGTTTTCTCCACCCTGCGTTATCCTGAGATTCCCGTTAGTCTCTCCGACGTTTTGGGGGGGAGGGGGTTGGTACCAGAGGCTGGCACAGGTGCAATGAACTCCCCCCCACATTGTTTGACTCCAGAGCCCTAGCTCTGACCCCATAGGGAATCTTTGCTCTGTCCCTTGCCAGCTCTGAGACTTGCCAGGGGTGACCTGTTCAAACCCTCAGGTCCTCGTCTGGAAAACAAGGATAAAGCAGGCCAACGGTGAGGTAGTTGCAGGATTGGGAGGATTTTGCAAAGGAGCAGAGCTTCCGGCACCTAGTGAGCATTTGTGAGGTTGCCTCTCCCCACTGTGGCCCAGCACCAACTTGGGGTCCTCAGAACCTGCCACACAGGAGGTGGCTGCCGTGAGCTGAACAGGTCACTTTGTGACCAGTGGGGCTTGTGTCCTGATGTCAGCAGGGGTTACAGCACCAGGCCCCTGCCCCGCCCCGCCCCTCAATGTGCACCTTCCGAGTTGCTGGTCTCTGTTCGTGGCATTCCCCCTTGCCCAGACGGGACACCTGGGAGGCATCGCTGACTCTCCTGATTCAAGGTTCCCTCTCCCCCATGACATCAGGCTTCATTCTTTCTTTCCTTAGAGATGAAAGGCACATAACATCAAATTAACCATTTTAAAGCAAGCGATTTAATGGCCTGAAGACCTTCACAAGGTGCAGCCACCAACTCTGTCTAGTTCTAGAACATTTTCACTAGCCCAGGAGGAAACTTTGTATGTATTTGCAGTCACTCCCCGTTCTTCCTGCAGCCTGCTGCCCCTGACAACCACCAATCAGCTTTCTGTCTCACTTGCCTGTTCTGGACTTTTCAGATGGAATCATACAAAATGTTGCCTTATGTGCCTGGCTTCTTTTACCTAGGATAATATATATACTTTTAAAAGGTTTATTTATTGAAGTAATCTCTACCCCCATTGTGGGGCTCGAACTCAAGCCCCATCAACTGAGCCCAGCCAGGTGCCCCCAGGATAATATTTTTGAGATTCATCCATTTTAGCATGTATCAGTACGTCTTGTTAGGGCTGAATAACATTCAGGGTTCCTTGGTTTCTGGCAGGAACCTATGGCCCATGAAGCAGAAGATATTTACTGTCTGGCCCTTTCCAGAGAAAGGTTACCAGTAAGGAGGCTATAGAAATAGATCTGAGCCTTTAAGCTGGGAAGTCAGGACTCTGCCAGCCCAGCCCAGCCCAGCCCAGCTTTCTCTCCTCCTGATCCCGTATCCCTGCCTGGGTTCCCTGCAAAGCCATAGGGCTGATCAGTTTCCATTTCGACATCATTCTTCTCCGCCCTGTACCCCTGGCCTTGTTGATCCCTGTCTCTGGACGTCCTTCGCCATGAACCTGAGCAAACAGGGCTTTGTCTCTCGCCTACCCCCTACCTCTTTGCCTGTCCGGGGCACTCTTCACATTGCCTGACGGGAAAACGCTGTTTTTGCCTCTCAGGAAGGAGCTCCGTCTCCCTTTACCAGGTGGGATCAGGAGCATACAGTTGGCACTTAAACGCCTGATGAATTAATGAACCCTTGACCGAAGTTGACATCTTTGAGGCTTGGCAAACATGCTCATTCTTACTCTTACCCCTCTGGGCCCTCCTCAGCTTCGGCCGGGCAGGAGCTCTGTGTCTGTGTTCCAGTGAAGGCGGCCCGGACTCGCGGACATCAGGGTGCCAGGACTGGGTTGTCCCGAGGAAGCCCAGGCTCCTCGCTGCCTTCCCTGAGCCTAGCCAACTGTGTTAACAAGACCCCCATCTCCCTCTTCTAGG